GTAATTTAGCAACTGCTGTGTTATCTAGGTTACCCTGAATAAAAAACACAAGTCGCAGATTATGAGGGAAAAAGGGAAAAGGGTTTTCGTATGTTCTATTCTGTATAGAATAGTATGTTGTTTGTGCAAGCAATTCTGTTGAACTTTGATCCATTCGACCGAAGAAACTTTTATGTTTTTGGTTGGCTTCTGTAAATAATAATACATACATCCAATTTCTGTTTCCTAAATGTGTGTAAGATTAATGTATTAGATAGGCGGATTATATTGTACAAAAGTGGAATTGGAAATCCGCTGTTTGGTTTGTTGAAGCATATTTAAAATATAGAAAGCGAAAACAATTGTTAAGGAAACTTATTGTGTACTGTTATGAAATGCTCAGCTGCAGTAAGATAGCTTCCCTACAAAGCAGGGTTTAGGATTGCAAGATATGGCGTGAAATCGTCCATTTGGCGATATTTGATGACACATTTGGCGATATTTCGTGACAAATTTGGCGATATTTCGTAGACCGAGCGAGAACTTTCTAGAACGAATGCTTACTGGTTTTTCCGAGAATGTTCTAAAGCAGGTCAAAGGCTATATATACCCTGCCTGTACACGGAATATCTTGAAGAGTATGTTGAGTTCAGGAGTAGTGTCTTGACTTCAGAGATTAGCTCGGGAACGATCACCCCAGTTGGAAGCTGTACTTTAGTGCTTGGCCGTGAAGCTGTCTTCACAGTTAAAGCCTGATAACCTGAAGGCTCTGTTGCTGATTATTTCAGCGTGTTTATCGTAGTTTTTCGACGGCTGTAAACGTGTCTTTAGAACTCTCCTGTGTAATACTGAGGAATAAATTGTGTTTTGATTCTTCATCAAGTGTTGTCATCAGTCACTCCAAGCCCACAAACGCTACAGTACTTGGCGTGTTTCTTGGGAAATATTAGCAGAAATTAACTGATTTTACAGAATAATTTAATCTTGAGCTATGCGGTGTTTAGAACCCATCGAAAGATTTTTAATATTTTAGAAATAAAAGTAAAATTTTCTCTCGTGGTATTTTTTACGGAAGGTACTTTTTTAAGTTTCTTGCACACTTTTCGATCTACGCTGCTGGCCATTAAAATTGGAACACCAGGAAGGAATAATCTGACGAACGTCAAAATCGCATGAAAGAAAGAAGAGATTGGGATATGTATTAGTATTTGCGCGCAGGTGGGAGAAACGACAACTGAGGTATTGCATAAAAGAAAAGTTATGTAGTGTATTTCTCATTCAGAAAGCGCTTTGTAAGGTCAGGGTTTGCTCAGAATATCGTGTTATGCCTCGAATAATACGAAGAAATGCTTGTAGAGACATTAGGATATTTTTAAAGCAAGAGAGATTGAAAAATTAGCAACGCTTTCGCCGGGAATCGAACCACGGACCTCTGGAATACGCGCCCAGCGTGCAGATCACCACACCACTAAGGCGTGCTAAGAAGGCTGCAGAAATACCTTATAAACTCCCCTTTTAAAGGGCGACTGGGGTTTTTAGGGGACCCGATCGCCAAATCCTGGGTGAGGAGAATTATCATCCAACACCCTTTTAGTTCAGAGGCCACTGTAGAGATATTAGGATATTTTTACGCGTAGAGATATTAGGATATTTACTGGAATACGCGACCAGCGTTCAGTCCACCACTTCACGAGCGCATGCCAAGAAGGCGGGTGAAATACATTATATGCTTACCAGCAAGTGGCGGAATTTGAAAGAGGCAGGATCGTTGCCATCGAGAGTGAGGATTATCGTTCCGTGAGATCGTCCGTCACACTAGTCGACATCTAACCACTGCCAATGGGTTGCTGAGAGTCATACTGAACGGCATGCAGAATCTCAAAGCCTTCCCATGACTAACGCCCGAGAGGACAGACATATTGTGAAGTCTCCCTGCAAAACCATACAACCACATCGCGGACCACTAGTCAGAAAATGGGCATGTTTGCAGCACCCCCAGTATCCGCTCGTACGGTGCGTCGACGCTTGCATCAGTGCGGACTATCAGCAGGGTGACCATTACTTCGTCTTCCCTTGAAAATGCAGCATAGAGAGAGACGGTGACTGGTGCGAAGAACGACAAAGCTGGACACAGGAGTAGTAGAATGTCGTCTTTTCAGACGAGTCCCGGTTCTGCATGCAGCATTCTGATGGCCGTATACGTATCCGGAGGCTCCGAGGAGACCGCACGTCGCCTGCTTGCTTTCGATTTCAACATAGGGGCCCAGCACCTGGTGCGATTGTTTGGGCAGCCATTGGGTACACGACACGCACATCTCTGGTTTGGATCGCTGGTAATTTGAAAGCAAATCGGTACATTTCTGACGTCTTACGTTCAGTGGTTGAGCCGTATCTTCGAGGCCTGCCAAACACCATCTTCTAACAAGATAGTACTAAACCACATGTTGCACGTCGTGTTCTGACTTTCCTCAGGTTGTACACAGGGTATTTGATTGCTAGCCTCACATTCACGGCCTCCAGATCTGTCACCCATTGAAACTATTTGGTCATTGGTTACTGAGAGACTGTCCAGCTAATACGTTGTATTGAGTTGTATTGAGTTGATAAAGTGGGGTATAGACTTTAATCAGCATGGAATGAATTTCCCGTTTCTATCATCCAAGCCCAGCTCGATGCCGTTTCTAACCAGTTAAGGGCCGTTTTAGCTGCCAGGGCTGACAGCTGTTTCTACTAATTTTGCACCCCTGTAAACATCCAAACTGCTGACAAATTTAATCATTTATAATACAGTAATGGATGTATTATATTTTGTTTGTACCATAGTTTTTATTTAAATTAGTTGGACTCAGTTTTGAAAGTATTTCGTATTTGCAGTACAAATTATGAAAGTATACTCGATTTATTGTTTGAATGCTATAGGTACTACTTGTAACATGTTCTTTAGGGTTTATTAATGACTATGTTACTTATGTTCTTGAAGGCCTTGTATGCCACTGTAAACTTATTTTGCTTAGTGATAATAAATGGCTTCTGGAGACAGGGGCTTTAATCCGTGTAAGGCAGACATCATGTCAGCTAGGTAATGAAGCTCTGTTCTCTGGTTCTCTGTCTTCATGCCATACTGTTCTTGTACAATAAATATCTTTTTTGTATTTGCTTTCTTTCATGGTATCGGAATTTTAATGGCCAGCAGTGTACAACTGAGAATGCCATTTTTGCATTGGTACTAGGGTAACATTTCTATCAAGTGCTAATCGTTTTACCAAATACAGTTTTGTAGACTGTGTTGCATTGTCAATTTAATTGTTCATTTTTTTAATTAAATTAATAGAATAATTTTTAAATCTAATTTTAGGCATTAAATGTCATTTTTTCTGACAAGAAAAAAAATCATTTTCATATAATTTGTTTAAAGCTGAATTTCCATTAATCCTTTACGCTCGTAAGGGAAAGGAAGACGAAAGGATAATATAAAAGGAAAAGAAGAAAATCTCCATAAATCTGACAATTGATAAATCAGTAGTTTGTAAAGATTGATTAGGGTATTTCACTAATGGATTAATTAGAATATAAAATGGGTAGAGAAATTTAATACTGGAAATAAGAATTTTCTTTCTTTGCTATTGATCTTCATGGTCTTTACATGGTCCTCACTAAGACAAGATCAGAGATTGGACAATTTTTCAAACATCCGCTACTCCACTTTATTTTTTTAAACCGGAAAATGTTTTAAATCAATGAACATTCGACTTCAGCTTATGGAAAGTTTTTTTTTTTTTTTTTTTTTTTTTTTTTTTTGCTAGAATAGGCTTTATATTATATGATCCTCAGCGTCGGAAGTTAACGAATGATCTGCACTAGTCATTTATTTAATATCTCGAAAATCTGCCATTTACTGAGAAACGTATCGATTTCTGAAGCAAACCACATTCTGAGCACTACGCTTGGTCATTAGTGAAACCAGAATGTATTGAGTTACTACTTTGAAGACAAGGAATTCCAGATTCTCATCTTAAGATTTGCATACGAATGTCAAGGTCCAGCACACGCAATCTTAACGCAAGATTAAACTCATTGTCTGACGGCGCTTAGCTACCCTTCTCAAATTTGCAATCTATTGTTCAGCGACTATGTAAAGCCTGTTGGAGCTCGTCTCTTGTGTTAAAGTGACTAGATGTCCCGGATGCGAATTTCCTATTTGTACGTTGTTATCGCAAGAGGTATTTCTCTCATCAGGCCAGTAAGTTTACAGTAGTTGTCTCTGAGATTCAATTTTCAAATTATATTTTTTCGCGAGAGTTTTTCCACCGATTTCCAGCCGATAAAGTTAATTTTGTTCTTCAATTTTATTTGTGAAGTAATTAAAATTACAGAGATGTATAGGAACATTTTCGTATCCCTATATACATGAAATATCATTCTAACTTATAAACTGTAGAGTTTTAATTTATTTTTCTAATAGGTATTTTGATTTTAGACCAAGCCTTTCCTTTACCTTCTAATTTTCTACTTATGTTTCCCTACCAGGATGAGTTTTCAGTATTACGCTTTATGCAAACGAAGTAGAAACCAGTATTTAACCTCAGGTCTGAGTTACACCAGTAGGAGAACGTGTTCTGTCTTTCACTCACGTTGTTGCTCTTAGTTAAAGATTGCTATAGTTATACTTAATACGTGTCTGCTAGTGTACGTAATTAATAAAGATCCTTAATTAAGGGCCAAATACGAAAGTTTGATTCTGTGTAGTTTCGGTTGATTAATTTATCCAGTATCAGTTTAATTTTACATTTTCTTTTTTTGAGTTAAAGCCCAAATAGAAGCTTCTTGTACGCCCAAAAAGAGGTCATCTGTTAATATATTTTAACTATGACTAAAAGGGTAATTTAACCCTTCTCCGGAGTTGTTACTTACGCACAAGAACTCAGCGAATAGTTGTTACTTAGTTCTTCAGTACGCTAGCTGTCAAGGAAATCTGTTTCAGCTAGGATATTACAAAATCAATGATATTAATATATCATTGCTCAATTATTTAGAAATATATTTATTAATACATTTCCGGATTACATTTATCTAAAAAATATTTACATCTGCTATTATAGTCTATATCGAAGTTCACCTCTTAAATCCACATTTATTCATCTCTTCGACGAGGGATTCATGTCTTAGAGCGAAGTCAAACAGTTCTGTGTTGTCGATGAGTCCAGCCTTGCCTCCTAATTCTTCCGGAAGAATTTCGACGGGAACATATTTGTGGAGACTTTCAATATTATATCCATGTAGAAAATTCTAAAAAGGTAATTCAGATGTAAAGTTTTTAGTTTTTTTCTTCCACGCAGTAAAAATAAATAAATACATGAACAAATAATAAAAACATATTTGATAAAGTACGAAATAAATCCAAATTAATAGATAGCGGATGAACCATCCCTTGTAAAAAATTAAGTTTCTTTATTTACAGAACGATGGAAAATTATTACAAAACGTTATGAAATTTTGAGTTTAGGTTCCGAATCAGCTACGTCATCAGCGTTACGCAAGCCATGTGACACAGATTTATCTAGAAATGACACAGTCCATAAAAGTTATTACTATTTTTAGAATACAAAGAGGAAATACCGAAATTAAAAACGAGGAATGAAGAGGCTATTGCTAAATTAAATTAAAAAGCTCATTTACACATTTTTTATCTTATATATATACTCTATATATGTATGTGTGTGTGTATGCAATATTTTAATTGCGTAGAAGACACCGGTACTTTAATTTTCGATAGTCGTCATGGCTGAGGGTGAAGGCAAACAGATGAAGCTAACAAAAACTGGATTTTGACGAATCACCAATCTTTATTTTCACACATATCAAATTATTTTGGCAGATATATTTATTCAATCATAGTTAAATATGATAATTTTTATGTACACATGTTTTAAAAGTGCGACGTTAGCATCTTAGACAGGAAAGCATAAGCAGAGTGGGGATGTTGGCAGGGCAGAAACTAAGAAAAGGAATGACTAGTGATGAGTCGGTACTACCGAACCGGGTATTTTGTAACGGGTACTTACTTGTAACAGGTACTGAAAATCCGTACATCCAAGTACCCATTACTTCAGTACCGAAATCGGTACTTTTCGGTATTCGTTGCATCTGTACCGAAACGGGCACTTTTCGATATTCGTTACTTCTGTACCGAAACGGGTACTTTTCGGTATTCGTTACTTCTGTACCGAAACGGGTACTTTTCGGTATTCGTTACTTCTGTACCGAAACGGGTACTTTTCTTCGTTACTTCTGTACCGAAACGGGTGCTTTCGGTATTCGTTACTTTGTAACGAAAATATGCGTCTCTTCTCGGTATTTCGATATTCGTTACTGGAGGATCGGTTGAGGGTTCAGCTCACTTCGGTTTTTGGTACGAGGACAGTAGTATCTGGTTGTATTTGCGAAATGGTGATATGCGCTTCTTGTGTCCATGAATGGCCTGCTCCTCAGACACTTCCGTAGTTGACATGTTTTCTGATATTCAAAATCTTACTCCGTACAGATAAAATCAAACACGTGGTGACGTGGCAGAGTTCCTTCAGTGCACAAAATCGTTATCTGCGTATTTCGGTACTCCAAATCGTTACTAGGGCACTTCAGTACTCCAAATCTCTACTAGGGTACTTTGGTACTCCAAATCGTTACTAGGGTACTCTGGTACAGCAAACCGTTACTCCGGTATTTCGTTACTTCGGTACTCCAAATCGTTACTTGGATACTCGGTACTAGAAATCGGTTTTCGGTACTTTTCAAAGTAACGGTTGCTTGAGTAATGGGTATTTCGTACCGGGTACAAGAAAGTACCAAAGTTGCCCATCACTAGGAATGACGTAGTTATTTGGGAAGCAGCAGTTATACTAAGTAGGTGCTTAAGTATAGCTAAGCTGTGACTGGTTGATTTTAGGTTTTAGTTCCATTTTTCAAGCAGCATTATGTAAGATGGAAAGATCTCGAATTTGGGAAAACAGATGAATTTAGGGGGAAACATAAAATCTAGAATAGTTAATTTTGAGGTCGCCAATTGTTTCTTAGAACATCCATCGTATTTTATTATATCTTACATACACATACACACACATATATATATATCTTACATATATATGTATAATAATTTTTAAGCTTAAAACAGATATTTGTGGCATAAATTAGTAGTGGAAGCCGTAACCCACATTAAGATTTCTTTTATATGCAAACACAGATAAGCTGGCACAAAAACGAAGCTGTTCTTAAAGAATTACGCAACTACCGAATACGATTTTAACATACATATATTTGAAGCAGCAGCAGGCTTTAGAAAGTTAAAAATATAAATGCGACGTCTACAACAGTGTTCCACAAACGGTGTGCCGCGGCACACTGGTGTGCCATGAGTAGGATATAGGTGTGCCGCAATCAAATACATGTATTTGACATTTTGCAATTTTTTATCATGTATTTAATACACAATGACAATTTTTTTCCTTAATAATGTCTATTTTAAATGTTTTTATATATTTCACTGTTGTGTGGTTGTGTGTGTGAATGTAAGTGTGTCAGCATTTGAATTTTTTCGGCACTTCCTTGATAACTCGGAAGTTTTGGTGTGCCACGAAATTCCAGAAAGATTTTTTGTGCGTCGCAGGTGAGAAGAGGTTGCGGAGCACTGATCTACAAGATGAGATCTTGATTCAAATTGATTTAATTTTGGTTTAGCTTTCTTTTTATTTTTTTATTTTTTTATTTTTTTTTATATATTTATTTATTTATTTATTTTAAATTTATTTATTTATTTATTTTTTTTGTTTGTTTGTTTGTTTTAAATATTAATACTGGCTTAGTAAGACTCTGAATCGTTAGCTTTGTATAAGGATAATATGCCATGGATTAAGTTTGGAAATGACGCAGCTTAGAAAGATTTATTATAAACCATTTCTATTTTTAGAGTGAAAGGATGAGAAAAACAAATTTAAATGAAAAGTTTTGGTAATATTGAAAATTTTAGTCTTTGAATTGCCCATTTTATAGATAAGATTACACGGGAAAGTCTATTTAACATTGACGCAAATGGCCATCTCGCTAAATTGGTGAGATATCGCCAAGCTAGCTATGGTTTTGGCGACTAATTTTCGTCGCAAAATTTGACGAGAAATCACCAAAAGTTGCCAAACTTGATGACTATTTGGCGACATTTTTGTCCGGTCCCTGACCACGCTTTCTGTTGGAGCCCGTAGCAATGTAGCTGCCTTTATTACGGTTGTGGATCTTAATGTTAAAAGTAAAACTGCACCCACAGAAATGATTGTTTTAACCTGAAGCAAAGCGAAGCAGAACTCTCTTAGTAACAGACGTTTTCCAAGCTGCTGGAATTGTCCTGATGTCCTCAATATTACTTGGCATTTCTGTAGAAATTCTCATGTCCTAGTATCTTTTCTACAAGATGATTTCGAAGACTGAAAATTCTACATCCATTTTTGACACTCAGAGAAGAATTGCCGAAACTTTCAATTTAGTTAAGTTTTTGAAACGTCTTCTTTGGTGAATATTCAAAGTGACGGAGGTAAGCATCTAAATACAGAACGTAGGCAACTAAAACTCTTACTGCAAGAATTCAAGAGTTACTTCAAACCAGGGGGAGACCAGACTCCATACAGTGAACATCGTATTAATACAGTCTTCAAATTGCAGAACCTCCGTATAATATGAGTCCTGAAAAAAGAGAATTGCTGGAAAAGAATTAGATCCTCTCCTGGTTAATGGTATTGTGAATCTCCATGCAGCAATGTTTTAACGATATTGGAGTGGACAAACAGTGAATGATTAGTGTTAACGGTGGGACAGATGTTATGTGGATGTTTTCTCTTCTGGCTCTGAGCTTTTGTAGGTTTGGTAATTCTCACTTTTTATTATGCGAATACATTTTAGCAACAAAATTTTTTATTATAGTACCGAACCACGTACCTTTAGAGTAATGTCAGTTTTAAAGAAGGAAAATGAAATAGTATTTAACAAGCTAACAACGCTTAGAATTATGGCTTCTTCGTTATACAATGAAATTAAATTAAATATTTCATATAATTCAAATATCTGCTTAAGCTATTTTGAAGTAATTTGGGTAACAAAATATTTATTTCTTAGTAATTAGTACAATTTTCGTTTTTAAAAATGAATTCTAGAAAGTTAAATTGTGACAAATTACCTAAATTACTTACCCTTTCCCTCAGCTTCTTAGGCATAGCAAGTTTGAAGAGACTGACTACAGCATGGTAAGCAGCAGGTTCATTGACTATGTGTATGGCTTTAATCCGTAAAGGAAAGCAATTCTGAAATTTATAAAAGAAATATTCTATTAACAAATCATTACTTTCTTTCAACGATCTTTTCAGAAGAAAAATTGATTTAGAATAAATACATTAAATTTTAGTTCAAATTTTATTTTGCCTGGAACAAACTATGAGAAATATTAGCATCATTATATTTTATTTTGCCGAGAACACTATTAGAAATTTTAACATAATATAGAGCAAATTTTCATTTAATGTTGCCAATTCAGAAAAATTGCTCGAAAAGAAAATAATTGTACTAACACTAAAAGGAAAAAAATCAATTCCGACAGCATCGGATTGTTTAAACAGAATTCTAATTGGGGCTCCCGCGGGAGGAGGCGTCTGAGAATAGCGTATCCCTCTAATAGTATTCTTACTGCTAAAACTTTCCAGATGCCTTACAGTTCGACAGATTTTTAAGAACCCTGTATCATAAATACTCTAGAATTACAAATGTTTATAGGTTTTTCAATATTCGAATGCGAATCTAGTGGCGTCGGGTACCTCCATCCCCCACAAACGCATGGCGACAGAAAGTTTTTTTTTTTTTTTTTTTTTTAATGGCGGGCATTTGCCTAAAGCGGCATTGGTCACTACTAAGACCGGAAGTGGTGGCCATTTTTTTTTTGTGGAGCCTCCGTTACCTCCTATGAAGGGACAGACGAATTTACGTCCATGCCTTCTCCAGGATTCGAACCCTTGCCGTTCCGTATCGCAGTCGGGCTCCCCTAACTACTATACCGTCTGGGCGGCTGGCGACAGCAAGTCCGAGGATGCAAAATGATTATTTATGTTTATATTTATAAACAGACAGAGTATTAAAATATATATTATAGTTATTAGAATATTACAGTTACAGAGTTATTAGAATTATATAGATATGAGCTATATAATATAATACTTATGATAACTGCATAATATAAACATATTTATATAGATATAAATTATTTAAATTCTGCTTAAGAGATTGGTACCATTTTTACCTAAACAAAGCTTCTTGTTACTTTGTTTTGAGGTGAAGGAACTATAAAAACTTTTTAAAAATATTATAATTTTCATGTATTTTTAAAAGATATGCAAATCTTTTTAGGTCTCCTGCTTTTTAATGACTGCGTTAAGTTGCAAATAGTTTGTAAAAACTCATAGTTAAAGGAATTGATAAATTTACTCTTTAAAAGTTTTTTCTTTGTGTGTGTGAATTAGCAAAATATAAACATAAATACTCCACTTACAATGTAATTTCATATTGTAATAAAAGGGTAAGGGCTAATTATGAACGCAATTTAAAAAGAAAATTCCCATAAATGAAAGCAATCATATTTAGACATCTTTGATCTCAGATCTCAATGGAAAGAATCAACCAATCAGTTTTCATTTTCCACGCATAAAACTTGAATAACAGGCAGCAGAAATGTTTTTTTTGAGATTTTCTATCTGATATGAAAAGTTATGCATCTACGTCATATGTCAGCAATTGAACTTGGATAACAATTGGCAAACTTCAGTACAAATTAATCGATTTTCTAACAAATCTAAGAAAAAAAAATTCTGCACACCACATGACTTTCTTATATGTCTGTTACCGTGAAAGACCGAAATTGGAGAATGTCGACTTTCACCGGAGAATATCAACATTCACCAAATACGTCGGTGAAAGACCGAATATTTCACTACATTCTTGTATATTCAGACTCTCACCGGTGTATGTCGACAATCACAGATATGCTCTGGTGAAAGTCGAAAAGGGATGTCATAAAGTGCCATAATAGTTTAAGTTGTTGCAATAAATAAGATTTGAATCACATAATTTAGTACGTTTTTTATGACTGTTATTTTATTTTCTCATTTAGAACGTACTGTATAATTAAATAAGTTTTTAACTTCTATTATTCTCCTTTCTCATTTTGAATGTATTGTGTGTTTTAGGTTCTTAAGTTCTTATTTCAAGTCTCAAGTGCGTTTATTCGCGACTGAATAACGGAGAAGAAAATATAATATTGTTATATGTTCAACATTCACCATTAGTACATGGTGAATGTCGACATTGACCGGTGTAAGTCAGAAATAAGAGTATTTGGAAAATATTTCGGACATACACCAAGAGACTATGTGAATGTTGACATTCACCTGTGAAAGTCGACATTCTCCAGATTTCGGTGTTTCACCGTAACATGTCTATTAAATTATAAACATCTTTTGCAACACCTCATTTAAACTGATTTGAAAGTGAAATAGGATCTTTCAATTCAAAGTGTCCTTTTGGCATTGCCGATTGCAACTAAATACAGAGGGGCATGACTATTACACATTACAGCAGTCTCATATACAAAAGTTGAACATTCTACGGTTAATCGTTTTTGAGTTGTGCGAGATACATACATATCCGCATATTATTCATTGCGTATAAAATAAAAAAATATGCTACCAAACTGCCAGTTTTAATTGGCAGTAGTTACCTTTATTCTTCATTTTAATTTGGGTACAGTAGAACTCGAATTATACGAAACAATTGGGACCGGACCCCATTCGGATAATCAAAAATTCGGATAATAAGACTTTTTCCGAAGAAAGGGTCTACGTACACTTTAATTAATTATTGTATGTACTGTATGTTGAAAATAGAAGAAAAAACTATTTTTAAAGAAAAAGAGGTTAATTATTAAAATGAAAAGACAAAACTTTTACGTGCATGTTACATAGCGTACTGTACAGTACTTACAAGTGCTGAAAGTCATTTGCTTGCTGAACTCTCGATCAAAGTAGACTGTTTGACTGTTTTCATCCATTTCCGGACAGCCAAGTCGCGCGTTCGGCTGACGCTCCATCCATTTAAGCGCAGTTTCAAGGCCGGCAAACGCTTCACAATCTGATGGTCCAGAATCTGCCATCAACTTCGACAATAACGTCATCTTCTTCCTCCATACTTTCTTCTCTCACATTTTTAATAAGTTCGTCATCATTGAGAATTTGAAATCCAGGGTCTGACGAATCACACACCATCCATTCTGCTGTATCCTCAGCACTAACTTCTAAACATCCAGTTATTTTCAAAAGAATGTTTCGTAATTTCTGAAGTGACAATACATCCTCATCTTCTCCTGTTTCTTCCCTTTCCTTTTCCTGAGCTTCTTTTTCCTTTTTCTTCTCTTCTTCAGTGGATCCTGAAAAATTCTGAAAGCGATTCAGATAGCCAGCGATTCAGATAGTCGGAGTTCGGATAGTTAGAATTCTACAGTGCTTTTATAGTGGTGGCCAAATTTGTGGACACTTTTGGAAATTTTTATGTTTTTGAACTTTGTATGTTTATAGAAAATGGTTTTGGTGCAACAAAAATAGGAGATAAAGCTATCATAAAAGTAAACTACGGTTATATTATTTTACTAGAGTTATTTATTAGAAAAATTGATTTTTATGTTGATAATTTGGGAGGCGCGGAACGGATTAACTGGATTTCCATTACTTTCAATGGAGAAGTTTGTTTCTAGATACGAAAAATTCGGTATAGGAGCTCAATGCTGGAACGAATTAAACTCATATCTCGAGGTTCCACTGTAATAACTTTTCTTGACTGTGTCATTTCTATATCAGTCCATATCATATGACTTGCATAACGCTTATGACGTAACTAATTCGAAACGTCTCTTAATAAACTGCCATATTAGAATTACTGCGCACTTTGCTTCCACCTCTGCTCTCGCTAAGACTGCTTCGCTGCTCTCTTCCTATCGGAACAGTATAAAAAATGTAAATGTTCTTGAATAGGCAGGATTAGAGAGTCAAGTGAACTGTGGCTTCAAATGTCAGTTGAAATAATGATGAATATTTAATCTGCGGCAGCTGCCAATTTTGCTGGTTATTATGGATTCAGCATTCTATATTCCATGCTGTCAATGGTTCTATATCATTGCAGCTAAGTCTATTACTTCACTACATATATATAATGTGTATATATAAATTTCTTAATTAAAATTTAATTTAATTAGCTTTATACGAATAGAGAATATTTGTTAAATTCAAATATATATATATATGTACATTACTATTATTATATAATTGTAATTGTAATAATTTTCATGCGAAAACATTCGAGTCAGATAAAGATTCTATACTTATTTCCTAAACTGAAAATTCATTATGTAATATTAATTAAAGTTGAAAATTCAATCCTTTTTCAAATTAGAGAAAATATTTTTGATAAATAACAATTCTTTTTATGTTTAAATAACCCATTGTTTGGTCGAAGATTTATCTACAAATTATCTATGTTCCTTTGACATAGTAATGATTTATTCAAACTGTGTAAAATAAAGAATAATTGTTCTTAACAATATATCGTCTTCTCAACTGACTACGAATGCATTCAGTTTTTATTAGAGAAATTATTTTCTAATTTTTCTCTACTTACTTGTAAGCATCCGATGAGAAAAATCCATAATTTTACTGATAGGAGTTTAAAAACCATTTTCATAGTGAAGTCTTTCAGATCTATAAGAATCATACACCCACATACAGATGATGCCTCCAGTCGAGCAAGAAGACTTCCAATTGTAAAACTGGTTGCAAATAGATCTTCTATAGTAGCTTCGTTCCAATTAAACTTACCTATAATTATTGAAATCCTTATTTTTATAAAATGGGTTGTGGAGTAAAGAAATACAATAATCTCCCGATTATGCGAATGCGAATTATCTGGGTTACCATTGCCGGGGGGGGGGGTGGGGAATTACTTGATTAATAATACTGATACTGAATTAGTTGATTATATTGTAGAAACATTAGGTTATTTCGAAGGAGGAGACATGAAAAATGAGACATCGGAAAGCAATGCGCATTTGCCAAATATGCCCGAAGCTATTTGAGGGAGGGGTTTCGAAAATGGACCAATGAGCTGCTATTGCTCTTGTGACACTTAATCTCGTAGTGCTTTCGTTTTCTGAGTTTGATTAATCGCTGACATTTAACTTTCGCGATTTTTTTCACGCATAAATATTAGGATTGATGTTCACGGCATATTATGTGGATTAAGAGAATTCAAGTGTATATATATATTTTTAATTGAGTTGAGTATGACTGAAAGTATTACAATGAATCTAGTATTTTCTTATTTCAGTGCTTGCATTCTTTTGATTTTTAAAGTGTAAGATTCAGAATACATATGATCTGATTATATCCATTGTTAACATTAAAAATTATATGTGAGTAAATTGAATATACTCGTTGTGAATACGATAAATTCACTCTCCTTCATGAATATTTCTTGTGTAGACAGTGCATTTAAGAGCAGTTATTAAATGTGAAATTTAACACACTAAATGTATTCGAATGCAAATTAGTAAAGTTCACTTTGAATAAAATTCTGCATTGGTTATTATTATAGAACATCTTTTTCATATGGACTGCGATGAAAAGTGCTGACTTCTATTTGCTTATATTAATAGGTGTAAATATTTTTCTCATATGCATAGTTTTATGTAAAGTTACGTAAAGTTATGTAAAGTTTAGTTACACTCATGTCCATAAATTAAGGATAATTAGGAGTCACGCGGAAATCGAACTCTAAAATAAATATATCACCTGTAAAATCATTACACACATCTTCAAGAATCATATGCAAATTTCAGGAAGTAACCAGATGACACCGATGGTACGTCACAATGACGAGAGTGTAAGAGAGCGATATATAAGGAATACAGGCAAAGAAGTAAAATTGTTCGCAGGTGCTTCATAAGCATTTCAGTGAAATAACCGAATAGTTATGACACAAAGGACGCCTTTGGATGATTTTTTACGTAGTAGAATTATCGGCCGTCTGGAATGTGAGCGTACCCAACTGGAAGTATCAACGAACTTGGAATTGCCCAGAGTGTCATCTCCAGGCTTTGGCAACGATTCCAAGATGATGGTAATGTGAGAAGACGTTACAACACAGGTCGCCCCAGAGATACAACGCCGAATGAGGACCGCTATTTGGCAGTTAATGCCAAGAGAAACAGGCGGAGCACAGCCTCAGACCTGTCTCGTCAGCTCTCTTCAGCCACTGGTACGACAATTTCAAGGCAGACCGTGTACAGACGCTTAGGGCAGATTGGTCTATATGCTCGTAGACCTGTCAGATGCGTTCCACTTACTGCAACTCACTGTCGCCTGCGGTTAGCCTGGAGTAGAGAGCATGCATTGTGGACACCGCAACAGTGGGCTTGTGTGATGTTTTCCGACGAGTCCAGGTTTAGCTTGCAGTCTGATTCTCGCCGGACTTTCATATGGAGAGCTCCAGGTACCCGTTACCACCAAGAAAACATCATTGAACGACACCGTTACGGTGGTGCAGGAGTGCTCGTTTGGGGTGGAATTATTCTGGGTTCCAGAACTGACCTGCATGTTCAAATTGGAACCATGACAAGCCAAATCTATCGGGACGTCATTCTGGAACAACATGTACGTTTGTTTCGGGGCGCCATGGGCGCACAATTTGTGTTTATGGATGACAACGCCCGTCCTCACCGTGCAAACATCGTAAGCGAATGCCTTCAATCGGAGGATATCACCCGTATGGACTGGCCAGCATTCTCACCGGACTTGAATCCAGTAGAGCACGTGTGGGACATGCTTGGCCGACGAGTTGCAGCCCGTCAACCTCCTCCTACATGTCTACCGGAACTTCGGAGAGCATTGCTTTTTGAGTGGTGTAATATCCCCCAAGATCAGATCGATAATTTGATACTCAGCATGCCTAGGCGTTGTACGGACTGTATTGCATCGTCTGGGAGACATACAATGTATTAACAATCATACCAACCATGTAATATTGGTTTTTTGTAAATAGGTTTTTTTTTTTGTAATTTGCTCCAGGGAGAAAAAATCGCTAATTTTTTTAATAATATCAAACATATAGCATCTTTTTTTGCTCTTTACCTTTTGTTTAATAAATAAGCTTTACAAATAAGTCAAATTTGTTTTGCTTCTAACTCTTCCTTTGCCTGATTTTGCATTATCCTTAATTTATGGACATGAGTGTATTTTACGCATAGTTTTATGAGCATTTGAGCTCAGATGTTTATCACATATTTCTTTCTTCATCTTATTTACCACTTATTAAGTAATATTTCACATCGATATTTTTGCAAAGTATCCAACATGTGCTTGTATTTATTTCAATCAGGTAGTGAAATCTTCAAAATTTCCTATAATTGATTTAACTTCGCAATAAAAAGTTTCAGAAGCAATCGATGATGCTTTAATTATTTTGTACAGAATATTTTCAACCATCTTGCTTAAATCTTGTGAAATATGCTCGCCGGAACTATCTGTCTATCTATCTTGCTGGTTTTTTGCCAACAGATGTTACCAGACTAATTGCAAAAGAATCTTTTGATGGTGCTCAGATTATGAGAAATTTAAACAAATTCTCTTAAAGTGCTTGTAATTGAGTGCTGAGAAATTTCAAGAACTGTTTGCTGAAGATAAGAAAAATCCGGAACACACCTGAAGAGATTTTTATTTTGATTTACAAAACTATTTCGATAAATAATCAAAAGTCCGGAAGTTTGATGAGTTAAAAAATTTGATACAGGCAGATCAGTTTAAGAAGAAAGCTTTTCCTGGCTACAAAGAACATTTTTTGAATCACTGTTGTAAGTAGAATTATCCACTTCAGCTTACGAATAAATTAGATCTGTATAAAGAAGTTAGACACATACGAAATGAAAGGTGTAACTCTCTAAGTTTCAGCAAGCTGATTCCAAAAATTACAGAAGTAACATCTCAACATGAGATATTGTAAAAATATAAAGATCAACCAACTGTTAGTTGCTATGGCTGTAGGAAGTCAGACTTTATTAAAGGGGGCACAGGACCTCTGGGCTCGTCGAAACGATCATAAAATTCCTCAAACTCGAAACACAAAAACTCATATTATATGATTAAAAGATTATACTTTTTTTTACTTTATACCTTAAATAGATATGCCTTATTATGCTGTATATGAAATGAAAATTATAAATAAATAAATAATTTGTAAATAAAAAATTGAAAAATGTACATACGAGAGATGTAAATGAAAATTGTCAGATGCTGCGCGCATCATAAATTTGAAAATATTTCATATAGAAAACTGTTTTTTTGGTAAAAATGTATTCGAAATATATTAACCTCTAATTTAGAACCAAAATATATAATAAAATGATACTTAAATTTGAAAAATTAAGAAAGCATTGTAGAGACATTAGGTAATTTTTGGAAGCAAGCAGTATGAAAAATTACCAATTGCCTTCGCCGGAAATCGAACCACGGGCCTCTGGAATACCGGCCCAGCGTGCAGAACTACTACACCACGAAGGCATACTAGGAAAGTGGGAGAAATACCTTATAACATTTTTTTAATTTAAAAATATGTAATTTTTTATCATTTTTTGAAGGTATGTATATATATTGACATATGTAAATTTTTTTGGTTTTAGCATGCAGAGTAACAACAGTAGCACATACAGTTAAATTTTTATAGCCGTAGCATATATCGTTTGATTATAAGACTTTAAAATTACCAATTTGAGAAAATCCAATTTAAAGATACAATATCACTTTTCTCGAATTTATATTTTTCAAAACAAATTCAAAATGCACCAGAAGCATAAACTACTCCTTCATTTTGTTTATGAAGCTCATCAGCTTCCTTTTTTCTCTTCTTTTGGTAATTCGAGCCTCTAAAGTATTGTCCTGGGCTCGTTTCTGTGCGAATTTAATACGAATTCTATTTGCTTCTGCCGCAAATGCTACACAGTTAGCTCTAGGTATACATTCTAGTTCTTTCATGATGAACAGTGTTGCCTGTTTCCTATCATTAAAGTTGACTACTGCTAAATTTGCAGAAATTTCTACAATTTTCATACTATTGTTTGTTGTTTTCGGGCAAAACATCCAGATCAACGAATTTAGCGACTCATTCACATTTTGTGTTCGACCACCAATGTATCTCTTTAGCAAGTCTGGGTGGGACAAATCTTTAAATAAAGGTTTTATAGCATCCATAAATGCTTTAGGAACTGAATTTTTGCGTTTAAAGTTTTCATTTGTTCCATTTACAAGAGCAATTGTATGCTCTTTTGTATGCGCACCAAGAATCAACACCATCGGGCCAAATGTCATAAGTTATTCCCTTATCATTTGAACGTTTATGGTACCAAATAACACATATCGCGTTTTGCATGTCGTGGTAATTGTCAAAATGCTTCCTAATGCCATTACCATAATATGTTGTAAGTTGATCTATCAGCACATCTCTAAGTCGACCTTTACCGGTAAGAGGTTTCTTGTCATACGTTTCTTACCACGGAATTCCTGTTTTAGTCTCCTCAACCGGGCACCCATGAATGTGGCCCACACAACAAACATTATATTTTCGAAATCGGAACATTATACGGATTACCCTTCGTAAGGGCTAAGTTTTACAATCTCCATCACCTGTATAATTAACGTAACAAACACCATAATTTTCTTCGAATGGCGAAAACATGCTCAACATACCATTCACATCCATTTGTGCAGATGAGCCTGAATGATTCTTATTGCATACTTTGCTATGTTCCATTTTCCATTTCAAATAGCTTTCCTTTGAGGGTATATTTTTTCCAGTCTCACAACCTTTGCAGTAAAAACTTGAAACATAACGATCAATAACTTTACCCGTTTCACCACCAATAACGGAAGTTACACTGAAATGTGAAGAATGTCCTTTGGTTTTCCATGTGCCATCTTCGCTAACGGTCAAATCTGAAGAACCAGTCATTTTTATTTCTTCGTCAGCTGCTATCTTCATACTAGTATTTTCCGCAATATTACGTGTAGCAGCATGCATATGACTTAGAATTTTGTCGTACGACTTCTGTGTTACAAGTGGTGGTAGATCCATAATTCCACAAAATGCTCTGGATTCTGTCGATCCTTTTCCAATATACCTCATTGCTAAAGTAAATCTTCTGTTTAAATCGGAAGCATTTTGTTTTTCACATACAAGTTTAGAATTTCTTATAGATTTTAGTACTCCACAGCATGAAATATTTATTTTTATAATTAAATCATATATTACTTTAGAAGTAATACTATCTTTATTATGGCAAATATGACAGCATACGCCATAAACCGTCGGATATATGCAATGATTGCATACCCTTCAAATTCGCTGTCACCAAATACTACTAAATGATCTAGAAGTTTTTTTGCATCTTTGTCATTACTTCTTGTGTACTGATTGCTGAATGCTGGTAGTTCGGTCCGAGGCTCGGATCCCGCGAACGGGTTGGCTGCATGGGTGTTTTCGTAGTTTTCTCCATGTGTAACCTGTATACGAGCCATTTTCCCTTAGGAAGTCCTCCACGAAAGAATCCCCCCCGATAGGCAGATAGCCCTAGATGCTGTGCCGCAACCACATAAAGCAAACCAAAATAAAATTGTAATTTCTTTCTTAAAAATGAATTTCTAAATTTTCGCACCTAATTTTGAGCTGCTTCTAATTATTCGCCTGAGGCAATATTTTTAGAATGCAGAGGGGAGCATGCTCAAATTTAAAAGAGTAGTTAAAGGGCTATAGTTAATTTAATACTAGACAAGTAGATATTTTATATTTTACACACACACACACACACACATATATATGTATATATACACATATGAAGGACAAAATAACGCGAACACCTATGAAAACGTATGACGTATTTGGCACCTGCAGTACAGCCGTGCCACCTGCAACAGAAGTCTGCCACCTAGTGAGCGTGAAGAGGGAGGTATCAGTCTCTCAACAGCAGTCACCTGCGTTGCATGCTTCGATCGAACTGTCTATGAGAAGTTGAAATGTCAGACCTGTCAGAGTTCGAAGGAGGAATGATAGTTGGATCGCGTTTAAGTGAAGCATCGGTTACGGAAACAGCAAACCTTATGGGGTGTGTAAGGAGTACGGTATCAGCCGTTATGACAGCGTACACGAAAGAGGATAAAACGACATCTTTAAAGCACAACAGTTGCCGAAAGTCAACGCTGGCTGATAGGGATAGAAGGGTCTTGAAGCGCATAGTAGCCCAAAAGCACAAGCAATTGTTATCCGAGATAACATCCGAAATGAGCAGTCATCTCCAGGATGCCGTTTCAACAAAAACTGTCAAAAAGGGAACTTCATGCTGCGAACATTTATGGTAGAGTAGCAATTTGTAAACCCTTGGTGAAAGCAACTAATGCTTTCAAGTGACGCCAATGATGCAGAGATCACAAAGGCTGATCCCCACAGCAATGGCAACAAATAATATGGTCAGATGAATCGTCATTCACCCTATTTCAGACGACCGGATGCGTTTATGTCTGGAGAATCCCCAAAGAAGCGTTTCGTCCTGACTGCCTCTTGCCGCCACTGTGAAGCATGCAGGTGGGCGCCATTATGGTATGAGGTGCGATATCTTGGCGCGGTCTTGGGACACTTGTTATTCTGCATGGGGGGATCACATCCAATCACTATCTAAGCATTTTAGGGAATAATGTCCATCCTTATGTCCAGACTGTCCTGGGGAGCGACCGCTTTTTCAAGAAGACAACGCTCCTATCCACACTGCTAGGTGTATTCAAGAATGGTTCCAAGAGCATGACGATGCAGTTGAAAATCTCGCTTGGCCTCCCTCAGTCTCCGGACTGGAATATTATTGAACATTTATGGACATAGTTGGAGTCCAAACTTCGTTCCCGATTTCCATCTCCATCCGGACTTTCGGAATTAGAGACCGCTCTGCAGGAGAAATGGCTTAATATTCCTTTAAATATTGTCCATGAGCTTTATGCATCTATCCCACGTCGGATTCAATCTGTAATTCAGTCAAAGGGTGGTCCAACCTCCTATTAATAAAGATTTTCCATTATTTCACAGGTGTTCGTATTATTTTGTCCTCCATCTGTATATATATGAATTTATTTTTATGTATATGTTGCTCTAAGAGGGTAAAATTTGCATTCTTAATGGCATAGAGGATCACATTTTGATTAACTACTTTTCTCGGAATATCTGTTTGCATTAATTATTACGGATAATCAGGAGTTCAATTTAAAACATTTTCATTCTTTCATTGAAAAAAAAGTATGATTTATTTGACCTTAATGTACCATCGGGAGCGAAAGGATGTATTTGACCAAAGCTAATAACTTACCTAGCCTCACAATGACCACTGCACAACCGTTGCTGTCTCTAGAAAGCAGAGCTGTAAAACTGTTGCTATCCATAATTGTTTTATGTTCAGAGGGTAGGAAATCAGTAAGGACACGAGAGTTCTTTTCTTTAAAGCGATAAAAGTTTTTCAGTGATTCATAAGCCTTCTGGACATCATGTTTCTTACAACGAAGAAACATCAACAGGAATTTATCATCTATAAAGGGCTGGAAATCTTGCTCAACTACAAAAAGGAAAGGAAAGAATTTGTGAGCGTTGTTTAGTAATTAAGACATAGTTTCGCATGATAGAATATTTCCTACAAAGCAACATTTGATTCGCAGACACGAAGAAAAGTAATAAAAGTCGTCAACGAATATTTTCCAAGGTTCGTTCACACTCGAAATTATGATCTCAGGAGGCTGTTAACGAAGGAAGGTTTCAGAGCATATGTATATGTACCGAGAGAAAGAGAGGTATGAAATTTATGTGACCTATATTCTTTGGATTAAAATAAAGAGGGCAATAGTTTATTCTTGCGATGGTTAATATCCCTAAGAAGAGAGACAAATTTTATTTTCTCTGCTTTGTTTGCTTTTTAGGCTATTCAAATTGCTTGATACAGAATGCAAGAAGTACATATGAATTCTTACCCTAATTAGCAAAAGTCACATATCATTAATTAGTTTATAATGAATTAGCAAAGTCTTAATTAAATTTTTTATCATGAATTAGCAAAAATAGCTTTTTAACTTAACTTTGATTTTAATGGAATACATTTTTTAATCTAGTAGCAAAATCTTAATTGCACGGAATTTGTTGGCGATTTTTCTTTTGGCGAGTAATCATAACCCATAGTTATTTATTAGCAAAAATCATAAACTTATTTATGGTTTCAACTTAATCGAAGACATTTTTAATCTGATGTAATGATTTATTATATGTTAATAGGCTTTGAATTGGTTATAGAATATTTGTGCATTAACGAGCTATAATCAGCTCCCTGATTGGTTATTGAAAATTTGTGCATTTCCGCGCCGTTTTAAAATTTAATTCATATCTTCGAATTCCTTAAAAGATGTCTTCAAAGATGTTATTTAAATTATGATTCCGATTTTTTTGTGGTATACTTATCAATAAGCAATAGGTTAAATGACCAAAAAATGTAAGTACATATTTTTCCTTTATTTGATAATTGTATACTTCAATTTTTTTGTTGAAAAAATTAATACACTATTTTCAAAAATTGCTGAGATAATTATTGTCCATATGTTTTAATGTTAATTATATTCTATATAACGTATTTTAATGTATTTAAATTTAATAATATTCTAATTCTTTTAAATGTTGCTATGATGGTTTTCAATTCGATATTCAATTTCAGTAATATTTTAATCTAATTAAACGTTGGCCCAATGTTTTTATAGCGGTGTTTTTATTCTCTTTGCTATATGAAAGTAATAGTAACCTTATTTTACTATTTTATACTCATAGTAAATGTATTTATTTACCCTTGCTGCCATCTTAAAAAGCGACATTTTCAACAAAAAATTAATCCATTACTTTTAACGATATTTTTTTTTTTTAAAGTTTTGAATACTTTACTATGTGTAAAAACAGCGTTTTTCAAGATGGCTGACGTTTGTAAAAATCGCGCCAACAATTGCGCCAACGTAAATCGCCAAAAATCCGTGCAACCGTCTACCAAAGTAGCACCAATAATTTAAATGTGTTTACAAGTATTGTCTCCCAAAACCGCTGTGCCCTAATTTTGTTATTCAAGAATAGTTATAAACGCTATGTCATATTCATTTCACTTGTTTTATTCATTAGAAAACATTGATTACCTACCGTATTATTTATTTCATAAACTTGAATTAATGTTTTGTAGAGTCATTAGGTTATTTTGAAGTAGGAGACATGAAAAATGAGCAACGCCCTCGTAGGAACTCGAACCTGAACCTCTCGAACAGGCGTCGAGTGCGCTACCATTACACCACGAAGGCACGTTTGAAGGAGGGAGAATATATGTACTTCCCCTTTTAAAGGGTGACTGGGGATTAGGGGACCCAATCGCCAAATCCTGGTAGTGATGAATCTATGACCAGGATGTACCTAAAGGTCTACTATCTTTTAGTTCGGGCGCCACTGTGGAGACATTAGGTTATTTTGAAGCAGGAGACATTAAAAATGTGCACTGCCCTCGCCTGGACTCGAACCTGAGCCAAAGAATATGTGTTGTTAAGAAGGAAAGCTTCGCAGCTGCAGGAGTAGCTCCCTCCGAATGAAAAGGGACACAACTGCGCATGCGTGAAATATCTGTCGCCAAAAAGCACCGAAGCTCGAAGCTGATGTCGAAGTTCGAACAGGTTAGACCATCACGTATATCAAGAGTTTAAAGCTGTGTGACTCCATTTTTTTTTCCTACATATTGACAGATATAAAATCAGACATCAAACTGCGATATGGATAATACAAGTTCAAATAGTAAAGCAAAAAAGCACGAAAATTCGAGTTTAAATTATCGCGAAAAGTCAAAGAACGATTCATCTTAACCCGTGTTCCTCAATTTCCAGTACACGTGACGGAGTGGAAAATCTTGCAGCTCACACCTTCATGGGATGAGGCCTCTGCTTCTTCTCTTGCTCCTGAATTGGTGGCTGTAATTTCTTTCGTTTTATCTGAAGAAGACAGTGCTGTACCCTAAGCTGTTTGGATTTGCTAGTATGATGTTGTAATGTCCATTGTGTGCTAATTGTCTGTTGTATGGGTTGAATTTGTGTAGTTTTGTAGCAGTATTGAACTTTTGTTGTTGTTGTATAATATTTTGAATCATGTTTTGCATTTGTCGTTTCTCTGTATTGTCAAGGATCCGTTCGCATTTTCTTCATCTTGTCAAGTTCCGTTCACCTGCCAGATGCCAGATTCCTTTTCGTACCCCTCTGACTTTTCCTTTCCCCGCTTTCTCTTCCGAGATGTTTTCCATTTCCAGAATTCATTATGTCATGTGCCCTTGGGCTTTATTTCAGGAACTGGCAACGTTGCGCCTGCAATAGCTCGGTAATATAGATTTGTCCAAGTCCAGGGACTGCGGAATTAGTATCGATTTGATAGTCAGTCATTGTCTCGTCTATCGAGTTGTCGTTCAGTCATTCAATGCCTATCGAGTCAGTTAAGAGTCAGTGAGCGAGTGTCTCGTAGTCTAGTGCCGAGTTGGTCATTGAGTGCAACGAGAGATTCTCTTAGTGTATCGCGAGTTCCTGCAGCGTCGAATTTTATCTTAGAGTGTGTTGAGCTCCGAGAACGACTGAACCGAGTCGGGAGCTGTACTCTAGTGTATCCTCGAATGCATCGCGAGTTGTAGCATGGAGAATCTCGAGGCTACGTGGAGTTCCGAGAACGATCGAGCAGAGTCAGGAGCTGTACTCTCGTGCTTTGCCGTGAAGCTGCCTTCACCGTTATAGCCTGATAGCCTGGAGGCTGTGTGGAACCCATTGTGTCACCCCAAGTCCACGAACCCATAACGTAGGTAAAGAAGAAAAATAGCAACAATATATAATGCAAAATAAAATAAAAAATAAATGCTTTTAAAATCGATTCCGTATTCAAATCGAAATAAACTACATGCAAAAACCAAAAAACAGAGGCACATTGGCAAACCTCCAGAAACAAGGGAGTAAAACATACCAAAACCAAAAATGAAAACTGATACTTATGTCTTTCGCTGTATCGTCATCAGGAGGTTCGAAAACAAGATAATTCATTTGTTTACAGCAGAAGCAAATAAATAAAATAGCCTGTTTTTGAACTGATAAGAACACAAATTTAATTTTAAATTTAAAAGTAATCTTAGAAAAACGATAACCTTTGAAAAACAATCAAAGTGCGTTTATCTGTCCAACCCTTAGAAGCCGAAGTAAGCAGTACAAAACTGGTAGTATCAAAATAAGAGACAGACACAGAACGATTGCGAAATAATAGATATTTTTTTTTAAATTGAATAGATCAAGTCCTAAAATAAAACTTGCAAACGTGATAACAGTTGGAAAAGATAACTGTATGCAAATTTTTAATTCAAAACTGAAGAAACAAAACTAAATGCAAATTTTGAAAGCATACAGCCCGGTCTAAAACATAAAAGCATAATTCATAAAAAGTAAAAAAACTTTAAAATCTAATAAAAGTTTTTAAATTTTCGTGGCCCGAGTACAAAGTTGTGTAAAACAGAACTAATCTCAGATGAAAGTCTAATGTGGATACCACATGATGTCCTCGTGCACTTGTTATATTATACAAATTCTTTGCACTACTTCGTTTAAACTTATTTCCTCGAATTATTCTAACTTAATAAATCGTTTACTCTGCAACAATTTAAAAATTGCAAATTTTGCAATTAAATATCCCGCTCAACTTTTGTCGTAACTTGGTGTATATCAACTTTTGTCGTCTCATGTAATTAGTGTAATTAGTCGACCGGGAATCAAACTTTTTGGAGCTTTATTTTTTCAGAACGAGTATAAAACATTCGCAAATATAAATATAGGAAGTACCGCATTAAAAGTTAGATTTCGCTATTTGTCCAAATGTTTTTTTACTTTGAAATTGCCAAAACTTGAATATTTTCGTCATTTAAAACACTTCTGTAGGTGGAAGTGTATGTCTATTACCCGAAAAATAGCCCAGGTAAAAGCCAGCTAGGTTTTAGTTTCGCCAATGACACAAAACTGGCAAACCTAAACATCACTACTGTACAGATCCTTTTCATAGTTTCGGTTGTGTCCTAATTGAAAGTACTCGAAGTTTTTAATTATTCCTTGTGAGTTTTTATGGTACTTTTCCGTTTCGCCGGCGCAAATCTCGCCAAGCAGACTTTATTGGCGACAACATACATTATACACACAAAAAATATTAAAAAAGTGTTAGTCCTAAGAATTCTTTTTTTGAAGGCATAAACATTTTAATATCGCTTAAAATTTTATAAAAAGCCAATAAATAAAGACAATAAATTTACAAAAAGACATTAATTTAAGAATTTACTATGCTTTCATGGTTCAACATCCTGTTTCGCCGGTTCATATCACGTGACCCCAAGCGATCTCATCTCACGTATACTACTCTACAAAAATGTAATGCTCTCAGTAATTATCTACATTAATTTCAAGTTAAATCTTAATTTGGAACACAAGTTTAAATGCAAGAAATACTTCAATTCGTACGAATAGCTTACTCAGAAATTAAGTAAAACTGCAGCGCTTTACTTCGCTAATGCATTCTCATTAGAATTGATGAATTTAACCCTTGACTTTACCTTTTCTATATTTTCGGCTTCGGGTAAGCGCTGTGATTGCATCCTAATTGATTTAATTGCCGAAAATGGCCTTAGCCATAAAACTGAACTATTTGAATGAGGCGTAAAAGGTTACCAGCGAGAATATTCCGTTTGGCATCGGTTGTACCATTATTGGCGACTTTATCGCTTGCGCCGGTAAAACGGAAAAGTACCGTTTTTATTTCAGTTCCGTTTAGATAAAGTCTTTACACTAAAGTCTTATAAATTTCACTTACGTTATCAATTCTTTGGATAAATAATAATTATTATTCTTTGGGTTTTTAATTTCTTTGTTTAAAGGTAAAATTTTGATCTGAATTTTTCACTAAAGTATTTATTTCACTTATGTTTTCAGTTCTTTGAATAGAGTTATTTTTATTCTACAGGTAAAAAATTTTGATTGGAATTTACTTTGTTTTTTTCCTTGCTTTGGGGAGGGGCCAGAATTTTCGCGTGAACTATTATAATTAAAATGGTTCATCGGCTAATTCTGGATACAGAAAAGCAAAGATTATTGTAGAAGAGAGATTTCAATTGATTTCAATGTTACTTTCCCTTGGTGAAGTGGCTTTGAAGTTGATTGAATTCTTCTTCTGTTTTGTTCTTTAAATTTCACTAAACATTTTTTAACTGGAGTATTGCTTGTTTTAAAGTTTTGGTTTTAACATTTATTAAATTCTTTGTGCATTTATAGGAATATTTGAAATTTATTAATTATGAATTTCAAGTTTTTTCTTTGGGAAACATTAGTTCAAAATTTCTTACTTTATGCCTTTAATGATAATGTTCAGCAGCTTAAAGCGCGAAAATACTAGGCGTATTTGTATTTTGTTTTTAAAAAATTGCTTTGTAATTATATATATATATATGTATAAATATAGGAAGATGGATAAAAATTTTTCGTGCTGCCGATTGCAGTAAAAAGCGAAGATGGCCGATGAGATGTTATTGCAATCCCACACAAGATTTCAGCGTTCTTTGATTAATCGTTTTATGCGAGATGCATACGTACGTACAATGACCCATGGAAATGTCCATTTTACAATCCGTTTCGGAATAAAGACCATGCAAATTCGCATTTAGATAGTAATAGCTGTTTTGGCCGAAAAAAAGTAGATTTTTATATTATAAAACTCTCATTCACATTAATAGAATCGCTTACTGATTCAAAATAAAAAGTTTTAATATTTTACAGGAGGGCGCAAATAATATTTATTATAAACTTTCCCTTTATATAAGTTATTATTTTTCGGAAATGTCTACTTACGTTCTATGAGTTCTTTAATTTTTTTCAGGGATTCCTTCTTGACAAGGGGTGTCTCACCGAGTTCTGTTTCAGCTATTATTTCCATTTCAGGTGTTAGGCCTTCCATTAAAAGAGGAGCAAAATCCATCTTTTACCGATGATGCAGTGGCAAATGATGTGCAAGAATATATATCTTCAAAAATACGTAACTGTGTCAAGTGGTGATAAAAAAAATCACTCAGCTGAACTTTATATTCAAATCATGTTTTGCAAGATAAAAAAAAGAGTTATCAAATCATACTAGGATAAATAAAATAAAAAAAAAACGCGTAGATAACACGTGATTCTTCAAGGTCTTTCCCGGACAATTCTGCGAGTTTTCAAGCCTAATGAGTTTTACGTACGCTAGAAAATTCAAGATCATGTAAGATAAAAACAAATTTCCTTTTCCGGAGTCTACGCTTCGACGAAACCTTGCGAAAACGTTAACTAGTTAAAATGCTGAGATGGGGATAATAATTTGTTCTTTTAAAGGTTTAAATAAAACTGTTGATAATATCAAAAATGAATTTGTTTATTATGAATAAATCATTTTATTCTAAGAGCGGTTATCAGCTGAAATTTAATAAATTGTAGGAAGAAACATATATATATATATATATATAGAAATATGGAATGGAGAGAGGAACGTTTAATAGCATAGTCAGCAAAACTTCAGATTTTAAAAACTCAAAATTATTTTTAAAGTTTATTTCTCGTCTTTGTATTGAAACCTATTAATGCAAGTTGTATGTATTTAATACAACTTGCATTTATTAATATTTATATTTAATATTGTTATTAACGGTTTAGAATTAATGGTATTTAATATTGTTCATTACTGGTTTAGAACAGACCCCGTTCCAGAATTACAATTCGGGTGCATAGTGTTGTTTAACGTTAACGCGGCTTCTGGGAGTGATCAGTATTAGTCAGTTATAACTCCAAGACATCATTTAAATAAAGGACCAAAGTGGTGATTAATTATTAGACTCGAGATCGATTTGGTACTATTTTCATTAACAATAGCAATATTAATGAAAAGTATTATTGAATTAATTATTTCAGATTTTTAGTTCTGCAACCCATACTGTCATAAAAATGTATTATTATTTTTATTAGCCCAGAAGGATTATTAATTTAATTTTGGCCTTTTGCGTTGTTTCACTATCAATGGCGTTTCACTTTTCAAATTGTTGCCACCGAATATTAAAACCCTGCATTATATTTAAAAAACTTAAATGTTAAAGAATCTGCGTGAATGCATGTACGGTTCTCGCGTTGTGAAGAAACAACGGTACTTAGAAACATCAAATTTTGAATAAACAGTCCTGCACTCGAATATGGGCAACGGGAAGCCCGAATTGGGAATTTCTGAGCCTTATTACATTACGGCTTATTACATATACGCTCACGTCTAAAATTTTCGATAAACAGTCTCGCGATATGGATATATAAATGTTTGATTCTGTACACTGTTGCTGCCCTGTTTGATCAGATACGTTAATCCAAAATTCGTTAAAGTTTTACAAAATATTAAATAAATAATAAAAAATATACAATGTCATTCTATAAAAATATTGAATATTTTTAACTAGGTAAATCTTTAATTAAATGCGTTTTTTTTTTTTTTTTTTTTTTTTTTTTTTTTTTTTTTTTTTTTTTAAGTCCAAAGGGACTTGAGTCCCGAAGGGCTATTACTTTCGTTTTGGCATTTTGCGTCGGACGGATAAATGTCGGTTCACTTTTCAAACTGTTGCCATAAAATGTTAGAGTCCTGCATTATATTTGAAGAAATTAAATAATGAAAACCTGCGTAAATGTATGTATATTTCTCACATTGTCATAAAATAACGGTACATAGAGTCATCGAATTTTGAATAACGTAATCCTCCAACGAATATGAGCATGTGGAAGACCGAATTTGAAATTTGAAATTTGTTTTATGATCGATTTCCTATTTTTTTTAAAACTTTGACGAATTTTTTTGATTAACAAACTCAAGGATTTCAAAGCGAGCAATGGCAACGTTGTGCAGAAAAAACATTTTTATCTCCAGCGCGTGAGTCTCTGTATCGGAAATTCTAAAGATATGCTCGTTTTTAAAACTATTTTGCGATATTGCTGTTGCACTGGATCTCTTATGGTTTAAGTGCGAGGAACATGATATTTAATAAAGAAAGGTAACACACAAAATGTTAAAAAACGCCCCTTTGGACGTAATTTAAAATCTGAAACATTTCATTTTTTTTTTTTTTTTTTTTTTTTTTTTTTTTTTTTAAGTCCAAAGGGATTTCAGTCCTGAAGGACTATTGCTTTCGTTTTGGCATTTTGCGTCGGACTCATAAACGTCGGTTTACTTTTCAAACTGTTGCCACAAAATGTTAGAGTCCTGCATTATATTTGAAGAAATTAAATAATGAAAAATCTGCATAAATGATTGTCTATTTCTCGCATTGTGATAAAACAATGGTACATAGAGCCATCGAATTTTGAATGACGAAATCCTACTGCGAATATGGGCATCTGAAATCCCAAATTTGGAATTTGTTTTATTATAGATTTTATATTTTGTAAAACTTTAACGAATTTTTGATTTACAAACTCAATGCTTTAAAAGCGAGAAATGGCAACGTTATATAAAAAAAAAAAAAAAAAAAAAATACTTTTATCTCCAGCTCACGAGACTGTGTATATCGGAAATTCTAAAGATATGCTTAATTTAACATTATTTTGCGATATTGCTCTTGAACTGAATTTTATGGTTTAAGTGCAAAGAACATGATATTTAATAAATAAAGGTAACACTCAAAACGTTAAAAAAACGCCCCTTTGGACGTAGTTTAAAATCTGAAAAATTATCTATTACTTTCAAATAGCTTAGTTTGTTTATCCACAACAGGCGGATTCAGTTTGAAACATGATGTTGCTTTCTACCGGTTCATGAGTTTGGAGTAATTCACGATAACACTTGGTGAAGAATCAAACCACAATTTATTCGCCAGCACTACACAAAGACAAGTGTACAATCGTCGAAAACCTACGATAAGCGAGCTAAAACAATCAGCAACACAGCCCTCAGGCTAGAACGGTGAAGACACCTCACAGCAAACCACTAAAGTGCATTAAAGCTCCCGACTTCGGTTCGGTCTTTCCAACGACTATATAACAGGTAGACGGCAAACCCCAACAGGTAGGGAATAGCGAGCCCCAACATATACCACGTGATTTATGGTCTTGGCCAGTATATGTCTCGTTGGGTCTCTTTCAAGCTAATCTCAGAACTCCTGAACTCAACATACTATCACACTACTCCAAATACTCTTCAAGATACTCTCCTCCGCGTACAGGCACCGTATATATAGCTTTTGACGTGCCTTCGAGAACATTCTCGGGAAAATCGGTAGGAGTTCGTTCTGGAATGTTCTTCCTCGGTGTATGGCATGTCGCCAATTTTTGTTCTAAATATCGCCAAATAGGCGATTTCGCACCAAATCTGGCAACCTTCCTTTCCCTCACTTTCTGGCAATCCTTAATCTCTCTTTGTGGTTCTTTGGCTCCATGAGTGTGGCTCTTCCACAATATAGCAGATGCGGGGGCGCGCAGTTAAAAGCAAGAAAAACTTGCAAATACAACACAAAGGCCGTCAGATTTTACGCAAGCATGAAAACAATTGAAAACATATCCGCCAATGTTATTCCTAGTAATTCTGCACTGATTTATTTATTCTGTATTCTGTACCGATTTCGGCGTTTTCACTGCATTCATTATACATCCTTTGTCAGAAAGTTCCAGGACAGTTTATTATTATTATTATTATTAGTTTGCAGTAGTAAAAAGAAACAAATGTTCCTTTTATGTTGACTGGTATGTATCCTAACTTGACATGGCCTTTGGCCATGTTTCCACGCGAACTTACTAGGTGGTAGGGCTGTGCTTAGCAACACATTGTTCGGATTGCTGTCATATTCGTTAAGATGACACAATGGATGCTGACTGCCAGCAAAAAGTGAACATTAAGTTCTGCGTTAAGCTCGGGAAAACCCCATTGTAAATAGTTATCACATTAGCTGTTTGTTGCCGGGACAAAACGTTTGCAGCAACAGTTCTGAGAAACGGCCTTTGGCGAAATAGGGTTACCATCTTCACTTGTTAAACAGGCTGAAAGCCAAACAAGAATCAATTATCGCTCAGATTGGCAAAAGTGACGTTTCCTTTCAAGTGACATTCGCTTCTTCGTGTTGTTCTGTATCGCTCACACGCTTTTCGTTTTAAACTTTATTTTTAGTAATGGAAGATAATAGAAAGGTGATTGCTATCAAGTTAATCACTTTGATATCCACTCTAGCACTTCATGTAACAGATAAACACACTTCTGGTTATAGCAATCAATTACATCAGTAATAGCCAAATTCTGTATACACTAAGAATAGTTTAAAAACGTGAGCTGGATAAGTCTATTTATCACACATCGCTTATGTGTATTTTCTGTTGTCTGGATTTCAATGAAAAATTTGATGGCTCACTGGAAAATTTGCGACCTGGTGAAAGCATTTTCTGACTAACTTTATGGCTCATAATTATTGTTCTGACCATTTAAACAAACAGACAAAAAAAAAAAAAAAAAAAACTTCTATGACAAAAATTTATATGGCTGATATTTACCTCCTCACAGCCAGCAGATACTATTTAGCAAAATGAAGATCAAATAAAGCATATGAATACATGAGCAATCAAATATGTGCGGCGAGTTGTTTACTGTCCCAGAGAACACTCGATAATATACCTAAAACACATTAATTATACCAACTCTAGAAATTAGGTGTTCACATCATGAGTTTGTTTTATGGTTTGGTTTATTGAGATTACAGCAAAGCACACTAGGGCTATCTGCCTAAGGGGAGGGATGCCTTCGTGAAGGACTTTCTAAGGGAAACTGTCTCGTATACATGTTACACATGGGGAAAACCACGAAAACGCCCATGCAGCCAGCCCGTTCGCGGGATTCGAGCCTCGGACAGAACTACCAGGGTTCAGCGACTTTACCGCTCGGCTGCTGGTGGGCTCAGTTGGTTTTATGTGATTACCGCAAAGCCTCGAGGGATAACAACAGGAGGGATCCCTTTGTAGAAGATTTTTT